CCGGCAGTGTCGCCAAATCCCTCAGGCCTTCTGAGGCGCACTCGGGGCCAGGGACCAGGGCCACGTGGAGAAACGAGGTGATCGGGAGGTAGGGACGCTTTGTTTCCTAGTCTGTGTGATGGCTAGAGTCAAGTGTTTGCACAGTTGGACAGAGCCTAAGAGATCTTCAAGTTTGATCCTCTCATCTTTTACGAAGCCACAACTTGGACATTTGGAATGGACTGTGTCATTTAACGCTCGCAGCGCCGCCAGGAAGCAGCTGCCGCCGCTAGCCCCACTGTGCAGACAAGGCATCCACGGCAGGGAGCAGTCACATGACTTGACCGAGGTCACACAGCCTGTGGGTGGTGGAATTGGGGTGCAAACCCAGGCAGCGTGGCTGCAGAGCCCGCGCACTCAGTTACACTGGCAAAGCTGGTCTACACCTTGTTTCCTGAATGCGGACCTGGGTCTTTTGCTGCTACCACAAAATGGCCAGCTGAACACGAGCTGTTGGTATTTCAGTCCACGCACCCGTCCCCACTGCAAATAAAGCGTGGGTCCCTCACCTGAAAGGCGTGTCACTGATGTCTGTGAAGAAGTAGTCGTTGGTCAGGAACAGAACTCGCTTCTGAAAGAGCGGACAAGGCAAGAGTGCTTGCCGGGGAGAACGGCTGCCTGCCCCCCACGCCCTTGGGGTTTCCCCGCCTCTGCGCGTCCCTGCCGCCCCTCCCCGATCCGACGCCACACGCCCCATCTAGTGACACCACGGCAGGTCACTGCAAGGGCCGGCAAACCACGGCCTTTTGCGGGTGGCCTGGATTTAAGGACCAAGGCCTGCCCGTCACGGTGGCCCTCGCCACGTGCAGCAGGGAGCCCTTGAGATGTGCTGCCGGGGAACTGGATTTTCGAATTTCAGTTCATTTTAGTTCACATAGATTGAGACAGCCAACGCGGCCAGTGACTACCGTGTTCGGCAGTGCAGATGGACAGTGGTGACTGCAGGGTTCCCATGGGCCGGAAAGGAAGCCGTCGGTTGGTGCCCAAAATTAAGCCCATGTGTATACAGTCTGCTGACAGCCTCCCAGCCCCCGAAGATAGCCAAGGGAGAATGGGCACCACTGCCCTCCACTGTAACTTCTGCCCGGGCAGCGCCCTGTACAACTTCTTTTTCTTCAAAGCTGCCATCTCTTCGGCTCCAGTTTAATTCATATAAATTGGGACATCAGATGGTGCACAAAGTGGCTAAGGCCATGGCCGGGCTCAGACAACCCGGATGGAGGCCCAGCTGAGCTGCTTCCAGGTGGTGCGCTCTCGGCCAAATGACTGCACTTCTCTAGGCGCCGTGACATCTCGCGGAATCAGGACTAGCAGTGGCCTCTCTCTCCCGTAAGGCCGCTGCGAGCGTGTGTTCTGGGCTCTGAAGTTCTGTGGATTGTCCTCCCATTGATGAAAGCTCATGTCATTGGGAAAGCCACATTTTGTCACTGGCTCAGGACCTGCTCTTATTCCCTTCACTTCTTTCCGACTTTTCATTTTGGAAATTGGAGTGAGATGTTGGAAGGAACACACAGAGAGAGGACGGCGTAAAAAAAAAAAAAAAAAGGCTTTGTTTCTCTAGGAAACTGGCTTTAGATCAAACCACTGTCCTCAAAACTGGACTTGTCCTCTAACAATGCCCTCCCGCCTCCTCTGCCAGACCTCCCTGCAGTTTCTCTCCATCGCATCAGTCTCGGGTGTCCTGGGGGACATCTGGGGGACATCTGGGGGAGTTGGGAGCCCCTGTGACCCAAGGTGGGGCCGGCTTGAGCGTCAGAACTGTGAATATTTTCCTTCTTTTTTTTTTTGTTTTTTTTTTGGAGACAGAATCTCACTGTGTTGCCTGGGCTAGAGTGCCGTGGCCTCAGCCTAGCTCACAGCAACCTCACACTCCTGGGCTCGAGCGATCCTCCTGCCTCAGCCTCCCGAGTAGCTGGGACTACAGGCATGCGCCACCATGCCTGGCTAATTTTTTCTATGTATTTTTAGTTGTCCGATTAATTTTTTTCTATTTTTAGTAGAGACGGGGTCTTGCTCTTGCTCAGGCTGGTTTCGAACTCCTGAGCTCAAACAATCCGCCTGCCTTGGCCTCCCAGAGTGCTAGGATTACAGGCGTGAGCCACCACGCCCGGCCTCTCCTTTTTTTTAATTGAAAAAAGGGTGAAATGCACAGATCTTAAGTGTATCATTCAGTTAGTTTTGATACACATTACACGATTTTTTGATACCTGATAACAGCCATGGAATTACCTCCCAGTGAAGGCAGGGGGCTTGGCGTCCTCTGCGGTCTCTTTGCCTGCCCCTCTGCGCACGCCCTGCAGGCAAATTGTTCTTAGAGTACGTGCTCTTTGTTACGTCTGGCTTCTTCTGCTCAACACAACGTTTTAAAGATCCATCCCTGTAGTGTGTCTCAGTGGTTTGTTCCTTCTGCTGCTGAGAGCGTTCCATGGTATGGACACACCACAGTTTGCCTCTACAATCACCCATTGATGGATATTTGGGTTGTTTCTAGTTTGGGGCCAGACTGAATAAAGCTGCCATAAACATACTGGAACAAGTCTTCATATGGACATGTGTTTTCATTTCTCTTGGTAAACACATTGCTGGATCATATGGTAAATATATATTTACCTTCATTTAAAAACTGCCAAACAATTTCCCAAAGTTGTTTTTACCATTTCTTGTTCCCACTAGCAATATCTGAGAGTTCTAATTTCTCCACATCCTTCCCAGCATTTGGCATTATTAGTCTTTTAAATTTTAGCCATTGTAAAGGGTACGAAATGGAATCTTGTAGCTTTAATTTGTATTTCCCTGATGACTAATCATGTTGAGCATCTTTGCATATCTTCTTTTATGAAGTGTCTGCTCAAGTACTTTGAACATTTTTTTTTTTTGAGACAGAGTCTCGCTGTGTTGCCCTGACTAGAGTGAGTGCCATGGTGTCAGCCTAGCTCACAGCAACCTCAGACTTCTGGGTTTAAGTGATCCTCTTGCCTCAGCCTCCCGAGTAGCTGGGACTACAGGCATGCGCCACCATGCCTGGCTAATCTTTTCTATGTATTTTTAGTTGTCCAATTAATTTTTTTCTATTTTTAGTAGAGATGGGGTCTCGCTCTTGCTCAGGCTGGTTTCGAACTCCTGAGCTCAAACAATCCTCCCGCCTCGGCCTCCCAGAGAGCTAGGATTACAGGTGTGAGCCACCATGCCCGGCCCATATTTCTTAATAGGACCTGCCTGGCCCCACAGGTTTCCGAGTTCGTGAGTCTGGCTCTGAATTATGCTGAAGCCGCTACCACCGTCCATGGTAACGCCACCATAGCTGCCTGTCTGGAGTTAAGGGGAAGATGGAGGAAGGTCTGAATTGAACGTGGGCAGTAAGGATGCCTGAGAAATCCCCAGGGAAGTCCATGGAGCAGGTGACCGTGTGCCAGGAGGACGGCTGGAATGGTGACCGACATTCTCGCAGTGCTGTAACGGTGCTTCCGCGGCTTAGACTAGACCTGAGGGTGGTTGCCGCTGAGGCCCGAGCTCACCGAGATGCTCCACTGGGCTGAGAGACGGGGCTGGGAGCGATGGCAGGCAGGCGGTGGGTGGCCGCGGACTCTGCCGCTCCCGTGGGGGAGACAGAGCAGTCGGCAGGGAGGAAAGGCAGCATCGAGGAGGAGTGGATCACAGCGGATCAGAGCAGCCAGAGGCCAGACCCAGCAAAGCGTCCTGCACACGCAGAGTGGGCTCGGGAGCTGCTGCAGGGCAGCAGGGAGAGGAAAGACTGGAGAACGCTGAGTCGTGCATCGCGGGGCAGAGGGAGAGGAGAAGACGATGACCGCCAGCGGTGGAACAGAAACGCTGCACTGAAGAGACTTTTGGGAAATCTTTAAGGCCGCAGAGCTGAGAACTCAGGGCCGGTCCTGCGGAAAGGCCTTTCACGGCATGGTTGAGAGCAGATACACGTGGGCTTTGCAATTTGTCACCTGGTGACCCCGGGCAGATTTTCAGCCTCTCTGAATACCTTTGCCGTAAAACTGGGATAGGATAGGACCTGCTTCATAGGTTGTGCGTGTTCAATGGAGTTGGTCCTTGTGGAGTGCTCAGCCCAGGCCCTAAATGTTAGCTGCGCTGTCATTAGCAGCAGTACTAGTAGTAGGAAGATGTGAACATCCACGTGCTATAAAATGTCATGATGGTCATCATCATCATCATCATCACTCTACTTCTTTAAGTAGAAGCACCCGTACATCAGGATGCCTTTGTTGAAATTGTAAATATTCAATGTGTTACTAGCGTCAATGAACAAATTTTGAAGGGATGGGCAGAGGTTTCACGGGCAGTCCAGACCGCTGGATCTGGTTAGGACTCTGCCTTGGTGGCTCTGAGAAATGTGAAGGCAGCCCGGGGATGACGGGCACTGGGAGGAGAGGGTGGAAGAGAACCCGCAGCGGCCGGGTCAGTCGGCATGGATGTAGTGCAGCCGTACTCCAACCGGGTGCCGTGCTCTGTGTGCATTTTTTTTTTTGGTACAGATGGGGTCTCCCTATGTTGCCCAGACTGGTCTAGAACTCCTAGCTTCAAGTGATCCTCCCACTTTGGCCTCCCAGAGTGCTGGGAGTACAGGTGTGAGCCACCACGCCCAGCCTGCCATGTGCGTGTTAAATTTTTCATTAAAGTTTAAATGTTCTGGCTCGGCTGGGCCAGGTGAGAGCTCCCGTGTGCATGCGAGCAGGAGTCTGGTTGGGGTAAGGGTGGGGGCACACGGAAGAAGCCTCGATTGCTTTGGATCGGGAGAAGCAGCAGCTGCCACTAGTGGCCTGACATCGCTGACAGTGCCCCGTCTGCCTGACGGAGGCCTTGCTCAGCCCAGCACTTAGAAAAAGCCAGGCAGATGCCACGGAAGGCAGACACGGGTCCACGGTCTAACAGGCATGCCAGGCATTGTCCTTCCTTCCCGAAGCTTTCTCGTTTGGCTTCATGGAGGCCTGTGTTGTGGAGGGACTTGGGTCTAATTGCTGCAGCCGGATGCCGTGTTCCTTCGGCTGAGGCAGATGGGCGACAGGAGGAGGAGGCGGGGGTGGCTGTGCGGGAGCGGGTGGCATTTGTAAATATGTCAAGGGACAATCAGATTCGGTAGACACGTTGGAGCCTTCCAAGTGAGAAGATGAAATGATGTATTGGAAATGACGGGCAGGTATTAAAGAGAGGAACGGTATCTGAGGGTGTTGGTGCTTGATTATCTGTGGTTACAGTGGACGGAAATCAGCTACAGGGAATGTATTTTCAACCTCTTCTCATATAACATGTTTTACAAGAGCTGCTAACAATCTGCAAAATTAGCTGTCACTTTTCCCCTTTCCATAATCAACAACAAAAGGGCCAAACAGCAGGCGGCACAAGGAAGAAAGAAGAGTCGTCAGTGCCTCGGCTGGCCTGCCACCTCGCTCGGCGGTTTCCAGAGAGCCGCGCGGCGGTGCGCAGGCATGCGGCTGCTTGGCCGGGTGTTTCCTGGCGCCCAGCTTCAGGCGTGCTCGCTAACTAAGCCCTGGGCCATGGCAAGCACTAGAGTCTTAGGCTCTAACTGGACTCAGTCCAAGTCCATCGTCACCCCCCAGCACTCCATGAACAGGGACGCTACCTCGCTGGGACCACAGCCTGGCCCTCCGTCTCAGCTCCTTACCCCTTTGTCCAGCGGAACCTTCACGTCCATGGAGAGAGAGCCCGTCTCCCGGTTGATCATGGCTGTTCTCAGCTTTGGGAGGAAAGACAACACTGTCAATCCCTCGGTGCACGCGGGAGGGCGGAGGGTATCGAGCGCTCCTAGCCAGATTAGAGGAGATCCCTAGGATCTGGGGATCCCTTTGGTTCTTCCCTTTTCCTCTGAGTGGAAAACCAGGCAGGAAGATAGACCTGACTCCAGATTCCTCTTAGTGTATAATTCCGGGATTCACCAAGGTGGTGCTCCAAAGGGGACCTGTGTGTTGGGGTGCATGGTGTCACATTGCTGAGACAGAACTTCCCCCAGGATGAGACACTGAAACCAAAGCCGGGCTAAAACACCCTGACACTCACACTCTAGCTCACAGCCACGATCTCACTCGGCCTCAGCAGTCCTGGTGAGTCGGGAAGGCACGGTTACATTTCTACAGTTGTTAAAGAATTGCCCGTTATAGGAATTGCTTCTGCCTTGGGCCTGCAGAGGCTCTGGGACTGAGCTGCTATGCCAAGAGGAGCAGAGTGGCCTCAAAGCTTCCAGCCGCGCGGCTGACCCGGTTAGCTGGATATAGAGCTAAACTAGCCCCTCCGCCCCTCCACCCGCCCTACTCACGGTCTCGGCGCGGTCTTCCCACTCCACTTCCGAGAGATCCACACTGTTGTAGTTCGGCTTGGGTTTCAGCTTCTTCCCCTCCCTGTACTGGAGTGGGCAGGTTAGGAAGAAAAACATGAGGTCAGCGTAGGGCCCTGCTCAAGTTTCGACTCTTCTGCACAGTCTTCCGGGTATACTCGTAAAACTGAAGAATCGCAGTGATTCCTTAAGGTTATCCGGCCAAACTTCCACCCCGTGCAGAGCTTCCCTTGCCGACGTTTGAGGCAGATGGTCTCATGGCCTCTGAATATTGCCCGTGACAAGGAGCTCCCTGTTTTGCGAGTCAGCTTCTCACAGTTTGGACAGCTCCGATTGTTAGAAATTCCTTCCTCGTACGGAGCAGAACTCTGTCTCCCTGTAGCTTTCACCCACTGACCCTCGTTCTTTCCCCAGAGCTACACGGGCTGCGTTCCACCTGACAACCCTTGACATTGCTACAGGCGCTCGTCACTCCTGAGACTTCGCTTCTCCAAGTTAAACACGCCCAGTTTGCAGATGCTTCAACTCCCTCTAAATGTGCTCTACCTTCTCAATGTCACTCCTGAAATGGGGTTCCCGGGACAAAAACCAACATTCCAGGTGGGGTCTGCCCGGTGTGGTGAGGGGTGTGACCTTGACTGAAGCATCACACAGCTCTGACTGCCGCCTGGGGTCCTGCCGGACCTCCCGGACAGCTGCACTGCCCCAGCGGCTCAGATGGAGATTTCGGTCAGTTAAACCCCTTGGTCTTCCTCGTGGGATGTGCTGCTAAATTCCGTCTTCACAGTCTTAGGCTTGGGCATTGAGTAATTTGTGGAGCTTTCCATGCCTCCCTAATATATTTCGTCTTGTTAGGTTCAGCCCATTGTTTTAGAAGAATACTTCCTGAATGCTAATTTTCCCACTTAATGTATTCGCCGTACCTTCCAGACTTCATGGCATCTGCCTTCTGTATGATAGAATTTTTGAATGGGACAGAGGCAGGGACAGAGGCAGGGACAGAGACAAGGACAGATCTGCAGTGCTTGATAAAGATCTCCCTCCCACTTGACACAGAGCCATCGATCAACACCCTGAGTGGCCCTGACACCTCTCTCTCTCTCTCCCCCGCCATCCTCCCTCCTGCCAAGACAAATATCAAGTTAGCCACCATTAGGCCTGCAGCACCTCCCAGGTTTAGTTTAGTAACCCTGTCAACAAAGGAAAGAGAGTAGTTTATCATCAAGGTAAATTAAAAAGTAATCAGAGGCCGGGTGCGGTGGCTCACGCCTGTAATCCTAGCACTCTGGGAGGCCAAGGCGGGCGGATTGTTTGAGCTCAGGAGTTTGAAACCAGCCTGAGCAAGAGCGAGACCCCTGTCTCTACTAAAAATAGAAAGAAATTAATCGGACAACTAAACATATATAGAAAAAATTAGTCCCAGCTACTCGGGAGGCTGAGGCAGAAGGATCACTTGAGCCCAGGAGTTTGAGGTTGCTGTGAGCTAGGATGATGCCACGGCACTCTAGCCTGGGCAACAGAGTGAGACTCTGTCTCCAAAAAAAAAAAAAAAAAAGAATTAATCAGAGCATCTACTTTTCGCAGAATGAAGCCTCCAGCAGACGCCTGGATGGTTGGAGTCCCCTGTCGTCGTGGATCTTGCTTCTGCCAGTTTTTGGTTTGGTTGCTTTTCTCGGGAAAGCGTCCTCTGTACTTTCTGCCTGTGCAGGAGGTCTGTGGTCCCCTTCCCCGCGTCTGCCTTTCCCCGCGGCCGGCTTGTGCCTGGGTTCTCGGCCTGTTGGTGCCCGGGCTCACCGAACAGCCCTGTCCCGCCGTCTCTGACACTGGACCTGCTTCTTCAACATCCCGTCGCCATTTCCTAAACCCTGCAGCTGCCGGAAGGTCGTTTTTAACCCCTCACGTCAGAGCCGTGGCCCCTTCGGTTACTTGCCCGGCTCTGGGCCCTGACGCGGAAGGGCTCAGGCCGGAAGCGCAGTGCTCGACCTTCCTCTGGTTCATTCTTGGGCGTCTCTTCTATTATTTTTCCTTTTAAAACTTAACTACCGTTTTCCTGCGGGTGCTTTCCTTAGAGATCTCCTCATGTTGGCTTTGCCACGTCCTCTCTTGCGTGGTGATGTCATTCTCTGCTCTTTTCATTTGTGCGGGTCTGATGTCTTTAGTCAGACCACCGACTCCCTCTGCAGCACCCACGGCGCCACGTGGTGCGGGAGGGCCGGGTGCGCAGTGCCGGCCGGGGCCTCGCGTTCGGCGAGACTGGACAGACGGAGACGGGGGGTTCTGACCCGTGCCCCTTAATTCCACACGGCAGCTCCATATTAGCGTCATTACTGTGTCCCTAGTGAGCCATTCTGCTGGCACCGGGGCTGTGCCCCCCAGAATCACAGGGGCCTGCTGAGGGCCCAGACGCTCGCCAGTAAGCAGAGTGGTTCCCGGTGTGCCCTGATGTCTCTCTTCCCCGACCCCCCAGTCAGCCTCAAATAGCTCCATCAGTTGCCTCGTGGGCACTCAGCACCTATTTGAACCAAACCGAATGGGACATGGCTTAGCCTGATTCTTCCAAATGACAGCTGGGTCAACAAGCTCCATAGTGAGCTCTCCAGAAGGTGCTCACTGTCCACTGTCCTCGGCTGCCACCTGCTAGTCACCATGAGACCGGTAGAGGGGAAGGGGCTGCGACATCCCTGGGACTTTAACCCCCTCCACCCCACTGCCGATCACAGCAAGCAGTGTGGCCATCATCACCGCAGACAGTGCCAGGTGCGTGTCCAGTCCTGAGCCCGGGCAGAGCTTTTAGATGCAACAGGCTCCTTTCTGCCCCAGCCAGCCGCTGCCCGGCTGCGCTCAGGCGAAAAGACCTGGGCCGCCGCGCCAGGGTGGAGAGAGCCGGGAGCGGCAGGACACTCGGCGCCGCCCCACCCGGAGAGGCTCCCACCGCTTCGTGGCTAACCCTCCGCTCACAGCCCCCGGGGGCCCTGGAGCTCTGCCCGCACAGCACGGAGGCCGTGACAGACGACAGCCCCTCAGGGCTCCTTAGCCTGGAAACCGCACACTTCATATGCGCTCTCGGTCTGTTCGTCAGTTGCTGGGTGTCTTCTGCTAGATTATAACCAATTTGCAAACAGGGACCATGAGTCAAATTCATTTTTTTCTCGTATTGTCCACTGGGTTCCAAAATGGAGCCCAGTGTGTGTTCCTGGCTTCGGCTGTTTTTGTGAGCCGCCCCCAAATTCCACGCAGTGAGGACCCCAAGGCGAAGATCGGTACCTACCAAGGGTCGGAGGTCCGGATGTGAGAGGAGGTAGCCGTTGTTAGTGTTCAGAAAGGCATAGCCGTGCACACCAAGCTGCGAAGTCAGGACGGAGGGACATCAGGTCTGTGGTTTGTGCTGGGTGACTAGAGTTGGGAAGCGGTTTGGGGCCACAGGATGGCGAGAGGCAGCAGCTCACAGCAGTGAGTGTTTCACACAGGAACCTAACTGAGCCCGCGCCGCGCTCCTATGCTTGGATTGTGAAGTCCTTTCCAAACGCTACTGTGTCTAGCAACCATAGGAATGTGCATCGTCCCTGACCTCTCTCCCGCCACACGCTCTAGGTGCTTTGACGATGTAATCTCAGTCTCCAAACAGGACTGTGCAGCACAGAGGAGAGGACTGAGAAACTGAGGCACTGGGCAGGGAAGGAACTTGCTGAAGGCCACAGAACAAGTCCTAGCTCGTGGTGGCAAAGGGACCCAGGGGCACACGCTGCTGTTCCCATACGTAACACCTGCACCTCCCTGGAGGCTGATGGAGGGGTCCCATCCCAGGCCAGTGGCCTGGCCACCGCTGCCTGGAGAGAGGGCGCTGAGCCCGGGGGCGGATCCTGGGGAGCCTGTGACCCCCTCAGAGACCAGACCCAGGCTCACCTTGTAGCGAGGCGCCAGCTTCATCAGCTCTCTCAGGGTCACATCGGAGCCCACCACGCCCAGGAGAATGCCATGGGATCGCTGGAAGGAAAATCACTAGGGTCAGGGCAGACGCAGTCCCTCAGGGTGAGGCCAGAGTGGACCCTGGGCCTGTCCAGAGCCCAGAAGAGGAAGCCACTTAGGCGTTAAGTGATCCTTCCTCTGCAATTAGAGTTGAGGCTGAGCTCCCTGGAATAAAAATCTATAACCTATCAGAAGAGGCCCCAGGAGCAATCTCAGCTGCTGGGAAGATTAATGCCTGGTATTAATATTTAAGTTGTAATATTTAAATGAAATACAAAGTTGAATGAAATATTAATCTTCGCAGCAGAGGCCGAAGTGTGGGATCCTAGGGCCCGTCACTCACGGGGCACTGAAGCACACGGGTCCTATAATGGAATGTTTCCTGGCCAGGGGACGATGGAAGGCTCTAGAAACTCCCTCACTGAGGCCTTTACGAACAAGTCCGTCTGCTCGACTTGGCAGGTTAAGTGTGGTTTTGCAGACAGCTTGGCAGGCGACACCTAGTCTCATGTCCCCAAGAGCAGAGTGACCCCAGCCCCACCCCGACCAAGAGATGCTGACATAGCTAGCCTGGGACAGGGACTCTGCACTCAACCCCACCACGGTGGCTCCGACCTCGGCCGAGTCCAGCACAACTGGTCCGAAGATGCCGGCAGTGGCCCCAGGTTCTAACCCCCCCGCCCCCTCTCAGGGAGCAACCACTCACGGTTTCATTCTTTTTGCTGAAGACCGGCATGGCCACGGTGGTGAGGAGCGTCAGGCTCTGGGCCTGTGAGGTGAAGAGCTGCCGGGGGCGGGGGGGGGCGGGGAGAGCAGGGTCAGAGGGCGCTGCCTGGCCTGGCGGCTCGGCCTGCTCAGAGCGCACGTTGCAGGGAACCCACGGTCGCTGGCGTCAGGAATCCCAAATGAGGGTTCCCTTCTCTGCACACGGAGAGCTGGCAGCAATGCTGGAGATGGAGGACCAGGCCAACTTCACTCAGCTGAGTCCTGAGCCCACCGCCCTGCTCCCAAGGGTGCTCACTAAGCTGTCTCATCTTGGCCAGGCCAAGGACGAGCGTGAACCCAAGCGACAGGCCCATCTGCGCCTGCCCAGAGCAAAGAGGCTTTTTACAGCAAGCTTCCCAGAAACCTCTGATACAAAACCTCTGATAGGAGTTGCTATGACTGTAGCCCAGACCAGCTAAGACAAAGGAGACCTTGATCGAGACCCCCCACCCCACCCCGCAAACACACGCACCTGCGGAGGAACTGCAGTGTGAGGCAGCCGTGGGGTAGCTGTATTCTGCCTCACGGCCACCCTAACCCACGCTGGACAGACCCAAAGCCCCCTCTCCGTGCACAGCACGAGGGCCAGAATCATCCCAGCAGCCTGGACCACCTGACCCCCTGAGCCCACGGCGCCAGCTCCTCCAGCTGCCGTGGAAGGGGCTCTGCATGTGCCCCCCACTCTGTAGCAAAGACAGCCTCCTGGAAAGTGTGCGTACAGGTGTGTTCCAGGTGCTAAAATTACAACTCTAAGCCCCTCACTGGCTGAATGGACCCCCTCTTGGCCAAGGGGACCCCAGAAAAGTCTTAAAACTGAGTTCCTGGCCATGAAGGGAAGGAAGGTTGGACATGTCTCGTTATACCCCCTCCGTTTTGGAGTTTAGACACAACTGACCAGCATTAATGTTAAAATAGGGATCATAAGACTGACGAAACAGACTGCTTGTGGCAGTAAGATACCAAATTATGAAGAGGACCTAGGGCCATGCAGGGTGAAGGCCAAGTGGCGTCTGCAGGCCATCAGCGCGCTTAACAGAGCACTTGAGTGGGCGGGTCTCAGCTCACTCTGTGATCAGCAGAATTCATGTCTTAACTTAGGCATTTCTTCCTCCTGACTCCACGTTCTTAGACAAAGCTTAATTCTCTCAACCAATTGCTGGTTAAAGAATCTCCAAACCCACCTATGACTTGTAACCCCCCTTCTCCCCACCCCCTCACCATGCGGCTTCAAGATGTGGCGCTTTTTGGGGCCAAACCAATGAATACCTTCCATGTATTGATTTATGATTTCGCCTGCAATTCCTATCTCCCGAAATACATAACACCAAATGGTAATCCAGCTGCCTGGGACCAAGGCTTCTTGGGTCTGCATATCCCCGGGCCATGGTCACTCACATTGGCTCAGAATAAACCTCTTTACATTATTTTACAGAGTTTGTTTTTTTCCATTAACAAGTCTGACCTTCCTTGAGATCAACTAAAGGAGGTTGCCGCGCTGCAGAACTGCAGAACTTCCCTGGAGAAGGAGGCACTTTGACCACCAAGGTCCTGCCCCCCTCACCTGAGCTTTCAGTTTGGAGTGTGAAGTAAGGTTTCTGGAACTGAACCACAATGACGTCTGATTGTTTTTCTGAGCTCAGACATATCCCGACGGGCTGGATGGAGGCTTTCAAGTCTCCTTCCCGAGTGGGGGGCCAGGAGGCCAGAGGGGCCTTCTCTGCCTCCCCAGGGCAGCAGCCCCCACCCCACTGTCCCTCAGGACTCGTCTCACACCCGAGCGCTTCGGCACAGCACAGCCCTCCTTGCACTCTTGTCTCTGGACATCCGTGCGGGTGGGGACACCTGCCCTGGGCTCAGGGCAGTAACATCCTCAACTCACAGGTCCAGAAGTGGGTGCAGGAGATCTGCAGGTGACCCTTGCCTGCTAAGTCAGGGACAAGGAGAGGGAAGGAGGAAGAAAGAGGAGATTCAGGGACTGAGGGGTTTCTAATGGAGGGACAGGCGTCCCTTTTAAAGTGAAGATAAAACTGTGACCTCCTCTGTGGGCATGGAGGGAAGAAGAGACCGGGAGGCCGGGCTGTCCATGAAATGCTGAGGAGGACCTGGCATGGCACGTCTGACATCGCTTTATAGGGTTACAGGCAATCAAGGCTTTGCCTTCCCTGTCCCTTCTGCAAAACACACATCCGGACACTCCAGACCACCGCTGGCAGGCGTGGCCATCGCTAGCCAGGGCAGGCTCCTCTGATGGGGCTCTGAGAGCCTTCGCTTTCAAGCTCGCACTTGAGGGAGGCGCACACAGTGTGCACCGCAGACGCGGCCCCTCTGTGGCTGTGCCGGGCGGTGCGTGAGGCGCCTGTGGGAGGGCCGCGGAGGGAGGGAAGAATGGAAGAGACTGAGGAGCGAGAGACACGGTGCGCGGGAAGACGAGATCAAAGAAGATTCCCTCCTCCCGCCCTCCCCCAGCTCGCTCATCGACCTGAACATGAACACCTGGACAAGGAGAGGCGCAACCTGCCCGAGTGAGGCAGACTTGTCCCTTCCGAGCACCAGCTTTGGCAGCAGCAGTTGGTGATAGCTGGACGACATCTCTTGGGCGTGACCTTATTGGCTGAGCCCCTTTAAAGTAGATTAATGAGCTTTTCTGCCCAATTCGGCGGGATGGCTCCTATCTGCTATTAACAGGGAGAGTGTGTGCTCGGACGCAGAGCAGGTCAGGAGAAAGGCCGAACCTTGCGTTCTCAGGCTCCTGTCACTAGGAGTCGGCATGGGACTAAGTTCTGGCCAGTGAGGCGCACACGTCTGTGTCCCGGAAGACTCCTCCTGGAGGTTTCCTCCGAAGGAGTGGAGTGCACCCCTCCCCTCCCACCAACCTGCAGCATACGGTGTGGTTTCAGTTGACTGGGGTTCTGCCAGCCACGCGGGCCAGGAGGGCAAGGGCCACATCCTAGCAACGGGGAAGGAGCCTGGGCCCCTGGTGGCCAGAGGGCTCTTGGCAGCACTGGGACGCCCCCTAGACTTCGTGCACACGAAGCAGAAACACGCTTCTCTCTTATTTAAGCCACTCTTGGCAGTCCCTGCATCCCAGTCCGATGTGTCATTTGGAAGAGGTGGCTGCTCATGTGAAGTGATTTGAGAAGTGGAAGGAAGGTCCTCCTTCCCCAAAAAGTCTCATCTGAAGTCCTGCCTTTGACACTAACCCTTCGTGTCAGTCATCGCTGCCTATAGTCTTTTCAAAGTGCAGGCCCCGGGGAAGGGAGGGCACGCCGTGAAGCTGTAGGATGGCGAGCGACAGATCTGACTCCTTCATCCCATGGCGGGCGGAGAGAAGGACGTGGGAGGGGTGAGGACAGGGGTCAGGGAGGAACAGCTGGGGAGGGGCCTGCTGGGTGCCTGGGCAGTACCTGGGCAGGGCCCGTGGGGGGGCCGGGGCTGTCTGGGGACAGAGGGGAATGAGGACCGGCTTCCCTCCCCACCTGAGAACTTGTCCTAGGAGGTACTACGCTCACCCTCCAGGCCCAGGAGCCACCTCGCACCTTGCTGTCCATGTAGGCCTCCGTCCAGGTGATGTCGTGGTCATGGTTGATGACCATGGGCCGGCTGAGCACGTGCAGGTACTCCATCACATTCTCCTGGGCGTCCGCCAGCGTGGAGATCTGTGTGTAGTAGCCTGGCGGGGGAAGGCACGTGGGTGTGGAAGGAGGGGCTCCCCTGGGAACCCCCAACAGGGCCCCAGGCTCGCAGCTACAGCCGAGCCCACTCTGGGACTGCCCTGGGCCCCAGGACGCTGCTTCCCCGGTTACACGCTCTCCCTGGGGTGCAGTCCAGTGGGAGGCAAAGGCCTGCCCAGCTCCACCTGCAGACCTCCGTCCAGACCTCCGTGGGTGCAGCGGGTGCCCAGCTGCGGGGACCTTAGGGATCAGCTTCTCTCCCAGCGCTGCCCACTCCCTACAGGGCATCTCCCCAGCGAGTCTCCTTCTGCGACTGCCTGAGGTCTGTCTTCAGCCAACCCAGTCAGAGACAGCGATTCCTCCCCTGCCCCCCATCTTTGTGCCCCTGCAGGTTACGGGGTGGGTGTCACAGCCTCTTCACGGGAGCCAGAATGCGAGCCCTCCACTCCCACAGTGCTCACGCCACACGCCGAGAAACGCAGCCGCTCTCTGCTCCTGGCCTGCCCCTTGTCCCAGACCCTCGGAACATGCTGTTCCCTCTGTCTGCTACACCCTTCCCAGTCACCTCCACCCCCACCCCGCGCCCTGACCAGCCCACGCCTCTCGGCCATTGCAGCACGTTGCAGGTTGTATGAACTGGCGGCTCCCTCCCTGTCCCCCTGCGGGGCAGCGCCCAGAGCAAGACTGGCCCGGAGTCTGCCCTGATCCCTCTAGATTCCCCAGTGCCTGGGAGCAGTGCCAGGAGCCTGGCAGGTGCCCAACGAGTTTCTGTTGAATAACAGGGACAAGATGGTCTCGGGTTCTGGTCAGAGAGAGAGGAAGACTGTTTGCACACAAAACATTATTTCGAAGAAAGCGGTGACCCTCTGTTTTCGCCTGGGAGCGGAACTAGCGTCAGTGGCTAATTTGCCACAGGAGGAATAGGGGCGGGAGGTTAGACCAAGCTTATGCGAAAAATGCCGGCCACCCGCCTCGCCCTGTTTTCTACATTGTGGTTTCGTATAAGCCTTTATCTGAAGTGACAGTTCTTCTCCCTTGTGCAAACTCTAGACAGATGACCTCTAATGTTCGTTTCAGGTGACTGTATGACTTAGAGTCCCTGCAGGAGCGATCCAGCGTTTGCCAAGGCTTTATGGAGAAACCTACATCCCGTCTTGCTTTTTCCAACTGAGGAGGAGGGCGAGGCTGCCGCTGTCCACGGGCCGTCCCTCTGCAGGGCCCCACGCAGGAGCCTGTGCTCAGCTCGGCTCAGCACCTCTGGGTGGCCGGGTAATGCCACCCCATGCTCAGGGAAGGCTGCGAGGCCTCCGCTAGCCGGCACTTACCTTTGTTGCTGCACGCGATCCCCTTCATGCGGTCGGCAAAAGTCACTTCTCTCCCAATGAGGTACGTGAACACTCGGACCTGACCCGCAAGACACGGATGTGCTCAGCAGCCGTACTGGCCGCGAGTGGTGTTAACATCACTTATGTGAGTCCTAGACGTTGGGTCCGGCGCATTTCAGTCTTTGGCTTCCCCAATCTCACTCCCTTTCGATCAGAGAGGACCCTGCAGGGAGGCCCGGGCAGCAACGCGGCTCACCAGGCTGTGGTGGCCGTGGGGTGGGCGCGGGGCGGAGCTCACGGCCCACAGCTCTGATGCTCAGAGCCACGTCCGATCCCTTCCTCTGAAGCCACTCACACCAGGCCTCTGTGCCTAGGGTCGCCATAGTTTTGGAACACCAAACAGGACTTATCTGAGTTTATGAGTGGGTCTAACGGGAAAGGACATTTGAATATGGGGTTGTCCTTTTGGGGCCCCACTGGTCACCCTACCACAGCAGGAGCAGAACTCTCCCCCGGCAGTGGGAGAAGCGTCCCTCCCAGCTCGACCTCCACCGGGAGAGTCACCTTGCGATCTGGCCAGTTGTACTTCTTGAACACTGGCTCGTAGTCCTCCACGGCCCCGTCGGTGATCAGCATGATGGCCTGGTTGCAGAGACTGCCTTGCCTGGCCTCTTGGAACTGTGTGGGGAAGGGCAGCCCCGTGACCGCAGGCCGCGTTGCCTCGTCCGCCCGGCCCCTGTCGTCCGCTGCAGTACCTGCTGCAGGATCTCGAAGGCTTCGCTCAGGGCTGGGTTCACGACCCCCACTCCTTTGACCATCAGCTCGTCCACCAGCTGCTTGAAATGCTGCCATGGGCAAGGTGAGGAGGAGCATCAGTGGCCAGGGGCCTTCCCCTCTGGCCTCAGCTTAGGAGGCCGGGTGGGGCTGCTGCCCGGGGGAACACGCCTGCAGGGCCCATATCTCAGGACGCAGCCAACGTCATGGGCTGGACCCCGACAGTGGATGTTTCTCAGAGGCCCCCAAGATAAACCGAGAGAGCGTGAATGGCTGGGCATAGACCCAGGCCCACCACTGGCAGGAAGTGCCGAGTGTGAGTCCAGCCAGAGCAGGGGAGGACAGTCCAGGGACATGGGCAGGGACGACCTTGACCTCAGCATCCAGGCTGCAGCAGGGGTGCGCGTTTCATAGCAGAAGCTGTGGAGGTCCCAGGGACTGAGGCTGGGCTTCAGAGGAAGTCAAACCTCAATGCCTCAGTCTCAGAGGGAGAGGCCTGTGACATGCAAAATCTCCCTTCGGAAATGGTTGCCGTGTCCTCTCCTCCTTGGTCTCTTACCAGAGGAAAGGACTCAACCCAATGGGTTTGAATTTGTCCTCCTTTCGGGGAACTCCTCGTGAAGACTGGCATAACAGAAAGGCCCGGGTGGGAGGCAAAGGAGGAAACCGAGTCCTGGATAGTCCACACAGTGAAAAACCGGTCTGAATGCGTGAGATTCCCTTAGCTGTGAGGTCTCTACCTGCTCACGCTCTGCTCGGACAAGCCGCTGCACGCCCTGGCGGTTTCCTGGGTGCGTGTGCCTGTGGGACCGCCCACTCGCTCTGCCCCCGGCCCAAGCACCGTGCAGGGAATGACGGGGGCTGTGGAGGCCGTCTGCACAGACTCCCCCACCCTGGCAGGGGCAGGGGCGCAGAAGCACCAGGCCACAGGCGACACTCACCTCTCGGTTGTCTCGATCCGCCTGGACGAGGATCCCTTTGAAACAAGGCTCGATGTAATGGACGTACTCGTTGTACTGCCGTTGCCGCAGTGGGGGAGGTGAGAGAACAAACAGGTCAGTCTGGGGAGTCAGGACCCAGCAAAGAAGCTCCGGCAGCTCACGGGGGATTCCGGGGCGCAGGTCACCAAGGCACCTGTAATATCATCCTGGGGCACTCAACACTTCTTGCAATTTTTTCAGGTAGAGAGAAGGAAGTGGAGAGAACAACAGGGCTTTAACTCTAAAAATCCTCCCTCAAACCCTGGTCTTGGGGCATCTTTTCCGTTGGCTGCCGGAGTGACACCCATCTCCCAGGGCTTGTGGAGAACCTGCAGTCACTGGCAGAATTCCTTTGCTCTCTGCCCCCAAGACCAGAGGAGATGTCTTCTTCCAGACCCCCAGAGCCTGCCATGGGCAGACCCCTCCCCACCATGCCTGGGTGGGGGGATTAGAGACTGTGCCTTTTTCTTTTTGCCTGCATCAACAAAGAGGGTCCTTAGCTATCACCAGGGGGTGGGCGTAGGGAGAAAAATGCGTATTACTGCCCTATTCTTAGTCACCCTGCTTCCCCATAGTTAAAACAGAAATCTTTGAGATGTCCCTAATCCGCTTGCCGCTTGCACAAAGGGGCAGAAAGGGGAGATGGTGGTGACAGCGCAGCAGAACCGCACGCACGTGCTGGGAGAACGTTGGGAGGGAATGTCCCCGATGGTGACTCCCCCACCAGCTGGAGGTGCTGGGCAGGGAGGCGGGAGGGAAGCTGTGCAGGCTTTGAGGGACAAGCACTGTCCCACTCCTGTGGAGGGGGGACCTGTTTTCCGTGGCTGTGCTGTCCCTGCCGCAGGTCAGGGACCAGGGTGGGGAGGAGGCCAGCACGGAGGGCCATGGTGGGTGAGCTGCAGGGGCAGGTGAGCCGCTCTGGGATGGGGGCGTTTGTGCCCCAGCACGATCATTTTGAAGTCAGACAATTTCATCTCGGTATTTCTTTACCAAATAAGTGAATTTCATGAAAGTTAAGAATTGTCAGCAACCTGACAGACTTGTGGAGAAAACTTGGATTAGCTGTGCTTCAAAAGGATACCCCCAAGGTAACTGTCAACTCTGCCTCCTTAGGGGGCTGAACTGACCCACTCTTCTGCTGCATTTTAAAGCATTTTCCTAACTTGTACCTCCCCTTTTCTTTCTTCTTTATTGCTCCTGTCTCCTAGGGTGTCTGGGTTTGGTGTGATAAAGGATGTGGAAGAATCCCCAGCTGCACTCCTCCAACAGCAGAGTGGAGAGTGGGCCAGCAACGGGGCTTGTCAAGAGCACGGGGCTGGGGCGGGGTGAAGTGGGAGCTCACTCAGGCCAGTGCTTCTTAACCTTTGCTGGGTCCCAGACTCCTCTGAGAAATTGATGAAAGATATGGACACAGAAAAATGGAGGCACACATTTCACATATGATTTCAGAAACTTCAGGGACCTCTCGAAGCCCAAGCTTGGGCAGACCATGGACCCTGGGTTAGGAAGGAGCCTCAGCTTTAGAGGAAAGAATCGTCCACAATAGGAAGCATCAAGTGGCTGTACGTGTAAGTCATTCTGGTGTGGGCGGAGGAAAGGTTTTTCTAGAGCAAGTGCGAGCTATTCTAGAACAGGAAGGCATATTTACCGCGATGATATTAACAAAGTCGTTCTCTCCTAGGGTGTCCAGGATGGTGGAGACCGTGTGTTTGGCAATGGTCATCCTCAGCCCCTTCATACTGCCACTCACATCCACCAAAATCACTATGTCCTTGGGAGAAGTAGCAGCTTGGATGTACCTTCAGCAGATAGAAAGAGACAGGCCCAAGATGGGGGAAAACCATAGCCAGAGCCACCGCCTGCCCGAGTCTCCAGTTATCTCTATTCAGATCCTGGCTCAAGTGTGCCCAAAACTCAGGTCCATGCCCCATCCATGTCAGGCTGTATCGTGTCCCATAACCACTCAACACAGTTCTGAAGCCATTGGGTGGCAATAGCTGGGAATGTGCCTGCCTAGTGGGCTAAACCCTGAGGGTAACTCTTGTCCTCTCTGATTTAGACCAGCTGAGGTCCCCAAGGGAAGGGAGAGAGCTGGAGTCCACTATTAGATTCCGTCACAAATCTGCCAGAAGAGGGGTGTCGACCAAGAGGAGAGCCTAATAGTAGGTTGATTTGGAGACAGCTCAGTGTTCTGGAAGGAGGTTTGGGCTGGGAAAGACAAACATAATCAGTCCTGGGGCAAGGGCAGTGGTAGAGGGAAGAAGGCAGGAATGTAGCTGGCAACTTTTCCCACTCTGTGTCGGATCAAGGTTCTACATGCCGAAGGCCTTGAGTGGTGGTGGGGAGGGGCAGGGATTGAAAGAGAACTGGGCAAAACCCGACAGCGATAGGACAAATGTCAGGACCGGAGACCTTTCCCCTGTGAGCTCTTACCAGCCGCGGTTTCGGCAGTCAAAGGTAATGACTCCATTCTCGTCAGGCGTCCATTTTATACCTGGGGAAATAAAGGCTGGTTCTTTTACTGGTTTGTTGAGGCTTCCCCAGACCCATGTCTGGGTGCTGACTCCCAGAATGGCCATGACCCCCAAGGCAGAACAGCTTTGGACCTGGGCAGCAGGGTGCGGACCACTGGAACACACCCTGTAAACTGAGGCAGCAGGCAAGGAGACACCTACCATCTAAACTGCACAGATCCAGAGATGGGGGTACTTTCACAGCTAGGACCCATAGGTGGTGCCTGAGACTTATTTGTGAAACTAAACCTCATATCGAATAGTGGAAGGGGAAGCTTTGGGAAGGTGTGATGTTTAACACCCCTTCCCCACCCAGCAAAGTGTGGACAAAGTGTTGAGAGAGGCAAGTGCTCTGACTTCCAGCCCACTGCCCGTAAGGAGGTTAAACTCATGAGCACTCAAGATCCTTCGTGTTGGCTGGACTGTGAGAAATGATTTGGCTACAGGACTATAAGCTCCTTGAGGTGAGGGATTCCAAGCACCTAGCAGAGTAGATGCTCAATTAATGTCTGTTACCTAAATGAAAGAACAAATGAATAAGTAGGAAAGATCTTGCTTTGACCCACTAGCAGAGTGCTGGGGTAGATTTTGTCCTATTCATCAAATTTTAAAAATGTGTATAAATCCTCACAAAGCATAGAAAACACTGTCATAATCCACAATAGAATCTCTATTTGAAAAAACTTTCATGATTGAGAATAGTAGGTTCAAAATAAGAAGATTAAAAATAACAGGTGAAATTATAATATGCTGTGCTTGGGATAGAAGAAAAATGTGGCAGTATCAAGAATGTTTAGAAGCTCCAAGGGACCTTTCTATGCCATAGCAATTAGACTTCAGATGACACATACCCTTTGAGGCATTGCTGGTCTCTCAAAGGTAGGAGAGGTTTTCAGAGATCATGCCTTCAAAACCAAACAAATGACAACAGAGTCTCAAGGTGAAGGGTGTGGGCCAGAAAGCCAGCAGCGGAGGCCTTGAAGGTGAGGAGCAGGACCAGCACCACGGCAGTGCGGTGTGGTGGGAGCTTGAGCACCACAAGCCTGACCTAGACCTGAGAGTTGCTGAGAGAAGTGGGGCCTTCCAAAGACTACATTCTTATAGCAGCATGGTGGGGGAGGGATTTGATGCTTAAAACAGCAATGAGGAGGAGAAGCTGAATCTGAGGTTCCTGGCTCTGAATTAAAACCTTAGAAGAGGGTTTTGGTTGCCCTGGATGAAGGTACCTTCCAGCCCAAGCAGAAACATAAGTGAATCCTCCTGAGGACTCCCAACTCAGGCCTATTAGATTCCCTCAGATTATAAGCAGTATGGCCTCACAAGCAAAAATTACCAAATCCATAAGGAGCAGGCCCCTATAAGTGAGAGGCAGCAGAATCAAGAGCCATAGATTTATCTTCCCAAGAATTACAGATGTCCAAACTGCCAAATGCATGATATAAGTTAGGTATGCATGAGAAGGATATACAACACAAAGAGGAACATACAACAAGAAATGATCGGGAATGAAGAAACAGTCTTAAAATTATGGAAGTTTTAAAAATAAAAAAATGTTTAGGTTGAAAAAATACATTCAGTGGATAGTAGATTATTCATAGGTAAAAAGAAAATTTATACATTTGAAGGATTTATCCAGAATCCTGTTGAAGCTAGAATTAGAAGGTCTAATACACATCTGACTGGAGACACAGAAAGAGAAAGAGAAAAGGGAGAGCATGAAGGAAAGACAATGGTTAAAGAGATGATGTTGGCAACTGTTCTAGAACTGATTTTAAAATAACACAGCTTTACAGATCCAGGAAACACAATATATCCCAAGCAGGATAAATAAAAAAATATTCCGTATAGACACATAGTAGTGAAACTGCAGAACTTTAAATGCAAAATAAATAAATATATATCCTGAAATCAGCCAGAAAGACCAAAACACACACAAAGGAACAGTAGTTAAACTGACAGCAGATTTTCTCAATATCAATGGAAGCCAAAAGACAATGGAAAAACAATTTTACAATGTTGAGAGAAAAAGAACCAATTTAGAATTGCATTCCCAGCAAAACTATCCTTTAAGAATGAGGATAAAGGAAAACATTTGTAGGTAATCACAAACTGAAGCAGTTTATCACCAAAAGCCCCACTGTAAAGGAACTTCTGGAGGGTTTACTTCAAGAAGAAGGAAAATGACCTGGGAAAGACAGCCTGAGACATATGAAGGAATAGTGAACAACTAAAATGGAAAACAAGTGGTTAATTCCAAACAAGCAATATTTAAAATATCACATAACAATAATAGTGTCTCATTTGTTGGGATGAAAATTTTGAAATATTAGATGACAATAGAATGGAAGTCAGGATGGGGGAAGGAGATGGAAGCACAGAAGTTCTAAAGTCCTTTATTAACTAAGAAGAGAGATTTAGACACTCGAATACAGGAAGCTCAGAGGAGATACAATTCAAAAAGATCTTCTCCATGACACATTATAGTCAAATTGTCAAAAATCAAAGACAAAGAGAGAATTCTAAAAATAGTAAAAGGAAAGACCTGGTCACTTATAAGGAATGCCGCCCCCCC